TACGGTGGTTCCACCAAACGTAAGCGATGATAAGAAGACGTTTGAGGTCAAAACCCCTTAACCGCTCCATGTCTTCTACCTTCAACGACTACGTCTCACAGCCACATAACAAGAAAGAACGGGCTGCAGCTCAATATACTTGTCCTTCGATAGATAGTCAGATATCTCACCAGTTGGAAACACGGATGATGCAAGTTGACAAACTCCACACGGTCCTTTTGTATCCGACCTGAGATTTTGTCAGCAACCAGCCCGTTCAGTCTGATGTTACTTCCAAAATAAGTAAAGTTGCCAGCATATTTCACCACTTTATTACCTATCACTAAATTAAAAGGGGTAGCAGACCAGACTTGAGGCATCATCTCGCGTCTAATAGGTGCAAAACGCATGCCGAAGATACTCAAATTCCTTTTTGAGGCATTTAAGAGACTTCATTTTGTCAGCGTTTTCGTCTAGCAAGAGAATATGGCCTACAAACTCAAAGTCAACCTCCAAGGAGTAGATCAATCCCTACTAAGTCAGAATTACTTCAGGTTATGTACATTAGTATGTCTATGATGGAGTTAAATAGGAACGGAGACAGTGAGAATCCTTGGCGGACACCACCAGTTGTCTTCAGTTCACGTGACAACTCTCCATAAGCCCTGACACGTCTGCGTGAGCTTAAGCAGGAAGCTTTTAGTAGTGGTACATATTTACTCGGTAGTCGCTTCACAGCCAGACACTGCCACAACATCTCACGATTGACAGAGTCAAATACCACCTTCAGATAGACTAATATTGGAAAGTGTCAGCCGCCGGTAAGTATCCATGTGTCCCAGGACCTATCAAAGGTTGAAAAGTTGATCGATGCACCTTCATCTAGCTCTGAAACATGCCTAGTTTTCTCAAATTCTAGTTAGGCATTGGATAATTGTGACCCTAATTTTGCTATGACCCGAGTTTTATCCCATTTTCATTGATCATCTAGGGACCTCATTCTGTCTAACCATATCTATCTCAAACAACCCCACTTATGATCCATTATTCCTAGTAGGTTGCAGCCAGGAAATTATTGGAGGAATGAAGGTTACATAGAAAACCTGAAATGACTGAAAACGTGAATAAATAGGTGTGAGTTTAAATGAAAATATTGGAGAATCCGTAACAGATTGAGTAGATAGCTTTCAGTGTGGAAGAAAATGAGATCGTTTACTTGAAGGCAAAATGAAAATCGGGAAATGTTGGTTAGGCTTGGACATTAGAGAGCCCAAAAGGAGTTAGGAAATAAGTAAGAACAGCGAATGGTGAAGTATGAGGAATTACGGGTACTTGCACTTCCTTGACAATATAATACTTAGTTCTTCATTCTGAGGCTTTTCATGCTTTTGTAGTGAATCGATGCAACAATTCCTTTCAGACAATTTATTAAGGAACATTTAAAATACTCATCTCTATTAAACCCTTTTAAAACGTTGAAAGTAATAAATCTCCAAAACCATGTATAAACTTACTCGATCCGAAGGGGTAATTAGCCACTTAGCTGAATTTAATAGCATTTTACTACTTTACAGAACTCGAGAATATCACCGACGACTGTACAGATACCTCCAGATTCCTCGCTAATGGTCATTCAGTTTCTCCATGAATAGAAAAGATGGTAATAGAACAGAAGTTGTATTCACAACGGGGACGTCTACAATATATACAAAGCACAACGTTTATATCTATTGCAATGGCCTTTGCTATTTTCAGGCCTACTAGATTTTTCTTCTCTTCAACCAACCTGATACTTATACGTTGGTTCACGTTTTTTTTCTCGAAACTTTGAAGCAGAGCGATTGTTTGAAAAAGGCTTTAGGTCTATGTAGCTTCCTATGAAGATTTTGTCAGGCTTTATGCACACAACACATTAGTGTGTTATATCTATATATATAACCCATTACCAGGTTAATATTTTTAGGACCTGCTTTTTAGTAGAAGACAAGTATTCATAAACCCTTCAATGTAAGCTGCTAACCAGACTGTTCACACAAATTATAATTAGTTTCATTGAGATACAACCTTAAAACGAGTGAAACCAAGCTTTCCTCCAAAAGATTTGCTATGCGACAGAATCTTTTTCTTATCTTTCACCCTCTTTAGTCAGTCTTAGAACATCTCGGTTCTCAATACATGTTGGACTATTCATATTTTTCCGCATATAAATTCTTCTTCAGAGATCCATTTGAACTTCTTCCTTAACCTTGTTCCACTCCAATATGGATGAAATTTACTGATGACACTCAGTTACAGAGAAACGGCTATAATTTTAGAGGCCTATATTGATGGAGAGTTAAAATTGTTACATAACACCAACTAAAATAGCTGTCCAGACATGCTCATATGAAAGCATACGATGACGAAAGTAGAAAAAAAGTGTATAACAAGTGTGAACAGGAAACTGCTTTACATTAATATACAATTAAGAGGAGAGGGGCTGTGTATGATACTAATTCAAAAGTTCCGAAGATCTATCCACCGAACTTTTAACGCAGGGAAATTGTAACTTGGATTTTCTTCCCACACAGTTGTGTTACCGAAAGATCAGATACGTTGGCTAGCTACTTTGTGTTACGTTTATCAATTCAATTGCTCCTGTGAAGAATGATGTATTGACCAATGTTCTAGGAGTTTGATTTATCGTGCTCCTGAACACGTCTCAGAATGGCTAGCTAAAAGTGTAGTAAAAAATGTACATAGGTCGATATTAGCTCACTTAGTTCAAATAGACCATAAAGCAAATATGAATTAACTATCTTCAACCATTTACCGTGTCCCCATAAATTTACCAAAAGCTAAAAAATACAGAATACTCCAAGCAGCAGAAACTATAGCCAGTTGGTTTAAACAGTAACAGTCATTAGTACTGCCTTGTCCGGCTTTACAATCAGTAACTCTCCTGTATAACTAATGTTTATCATCCAGCATCCTTTTATCACCTGCATTATTAATTTTGAATTCTCGCTGTTAGCATCCATATTTTATCTACTTGGACAATAGTGATATGTAGCTGTAGAAGCTGATGAGGAAGTTATCGAAAACAGTATTGTTTGTTTATCAAACTCTTTTTTGGATCATACTTGAAATTTTCAAGAAACATAATCAAACGGTGTTTTGTAGATTCAATGGCTTGTGAAACCTATGTTGACTTGCATTGACAGGTAAGATTATTTCTGAATACAGTAAGATCATTTCGCAATATTTTCACTGCATGTTAGTTGCATTTTCCACACCAGCTGAACAAACAGAACTTAGTTCAAGCATAAATATTTATGAATTTGAAATGGGAAGAAAAAATTTAAACAAGGTAATATGAGTTTACTTTTACTTCACGGGTTTATCTCAGCTGTTTTCAAACTAAACAATGTCAAATAGTAGGTACAGAAAAAGGAAATTAAATTGATTCAAAATGTTGTGAACTGGTTACAGTGAAGCAAAACGTAGACTTCGTAAACAAGATAATTATATACAATGTAGACAGGGGAATGATCTTGAAAGTGATTAAGAAGTGGATAGAAATAACGAATAACTGGAGGGACACTTTTCGTCAAAGATCACGTACCTGCTAGAAATAGACGAATTCACAATAGCTGAAAGAGTAAGATGAACAAAAATCAGATAAGAAAAGTGTGCTGTGAAGTAGAACAGTAGGTAAGAATTGTTAAAATCACCTAAGCATATTTTCGATGCAATTTTAACAAACCTTACTCTCCATAGCAGTGAGAGATTGACAACTGCGTTTTCTTTCCTCAGTTCAAGCTCATTATCAGAAAGAGCTGCAAGTCAATCAATATCCGAAATTTTGAAGTCCCTTTACGCTTGGACCTCTCAATTATGTATCATGAAACCCATTCTTCACTGTTCGGATTTTGCGTAACTGACCATTCCCCTTGTTAACTAGTTTTGCTACAAACTAAATTATTCATTTTTCTCATTTTACCATATATCTGAAGAGACCAGATTTATTTTCACCTTATAGACAGTCCTTAAAGGCTTTTATCACTTACTTTCGATCCTCAAGTTAATTAATTCATGTGATTACCATAGTTGAATAATATTTGATGAAATTTACTGGGTTTTGATAGTCTAGAAAAGTTTTCACAGATGAATAACGTTTTTCATATAACATAAACTAAATCTCACCATGGGCTTATAAATTTCTGGGACACAAGATTGTACGTAATAGGTAAAAAAATAAGGTTTCTTCTTCCCCCTCTACATAAGGATATTGTTTTGTCAAGAGAAAATCGACAACTCAAACCTTGTGAGCCAATAAAAGCAAATTCTCACTTTTCTTCTGTCATATTTCTTTATTTTGCTTTCAGTCATGGTGAGTAGAAGTATTTCACATTATTTTTGTTGTTTTATAGTAGCATGTCCTCAAACGCTAGAAAAGCACACACATATATACACTCATCTGTAGAATACTTCAGTGCTGCTTTTGCGTGAATTGTGAATACGCGCTTGACAGAGCAAATAGCAAACTAACTTCTGGTATGAAAGACAGACATAACAGTTTTGGGGCAGATAGTGTTAGAGCAATAACGGTAACATAACTGAGCTCTGGTTAATAATTTCTCCGGCTTTCGCAGTTTTGAGCTCTTCCTTTCGTGTTGTTACCCTTCCCCTCTTTAGGGACGGAAACTAATGAATATGCTTAGTAATGCAAATTTAAACTCCCCTTCATTAAAATAGGAAATCAAACACGTGCACCAAAGACCATAGAGCAGCTATCTGACTTAATATCCTTCTGCTTTTTACTGTCTATTAATCTTTAGGTCTCCCTGTCAACTGGATTTCTAGAGATTGTACACAGAAACACAAGAGACATTGGTTGGTCTGAATGCGCCTCTTCTAGGTGATTGACTTAACTACTTAGAGTAAAAGTATATAACACAGTTTGAGTTAGTTGCTATATCATTTACGATAAACAGAAAACTTATCAACTCTTCTACTCAAATATTCGGACAAGTCAAAACATGGAAGTGAACGACGCAGTCACTAATAGTGATGCTAATGACAATAAACCAAGTGAGTAACAGTTGTTTTTTGTTTAAGAAGTCGTATGAGATTAGAAAATTGAAATATCTTTACAATATCAGTAACCTAGGCAATGAGCAGTCGTTTCAGGAAAATTTCACGTATGAATTTAAAGCAAATGTAATTTCTGTTTATCATATGCATTTGGACATGTTTTTACCTGATTCGAGGTGTGTTCAGTACAAAACTCGATACATAAAAGTTTTCATAGTTCGCATGCCAATCAGTTTCGTTATAAAAGTGACTTCACATTTTGTATAGCTCCATACACTATGGACAATTATAACTATTATTTCATGAAAAGTTGAGATATAAACTGCTAACTATGGTTACGAGAAGGCTTACATGTAATTCGATTTGCTTTCACTCCTAAGATGAGTTATGAGATATACGTGACAACTGAACATTTTTAAAACGCAGTTTGTACTTTAGTTCGAAACGGTGATCTTTGTACAAACTTGTCGCTATATCAACATTACCATGAAAAAATACTTCTTTGATACTCAGTTTTGTGTTATAACTCCGATTTAGCTCCAGTTACGATTACTGCAAAAGCGTTTATGGTTAAAACCAGATGTACCCTTGCCTTTCTAAACAAGGATAATGATAATCTTAAACTGTATTGTCAACATAAGTGCAAAATAATTGTCACTAAATCGATTATCATAAAACAGTGTTATATTATCTAAGTCTGCCTCCAGCAAATGATTTCTGAATTGACCTTGTCTATTAGTATAATAGGCACCACAAGAAAAGTTCTGTGGCCCGTAGCATGAATAGACTGAGAATAAAGAAAACTGTTCAACAATAAAAGCAAAATAGCTGTTTGATGCAATACATCGCTGAATGAGTGAATTTGTGAAAGTAATCAGCAGTTTTTAAACAAACGCACTAAAATAGAATCGTCCGCCCCAGAAAGTGAACTTTTAAGGACGTCACATACATTTAAGACTACCGTACATAATCCTACTAGGCTCAAGGTAATACATTTGAGTTTTTTCGGCCTTGCACCTTTTGTCAGTCATTCCAAAAAAACGTTTGTCGAAGAAACCTGGTCTCGAAATAATTTCCTGCCTACATTTGAATTATTCATACTATTCTGAAGCCATTCTACTGTTTATCCTATCCAAAAGACATAAAAAAACTAGGTGCTTTTTGAAATATGCAAACTTCTGAACAACAAAAAGTATCAGGTTAGATATGTTTTTATTAGAAAAATTGGTGATAGTATTAAAAAACCTATGTTTTCTATGAAATTCTAAGGAGTTGTATTTATCAAATTTTTACTGACAAACTCTAGATAGTCCACAGTGTCTTCATAACCGGCTTGATTCTTTGTTTCTTTGCCTTATCACATAATTAGTTTCAGTCTCCACACTAATTCAATAGTCTTTTAATATTTACCTCAAATTATTTCATTATACCATTAAAATGAAGAGCTAAGATTAAATTTTTCAGCAACTCGTTTCCAAACCTGACAGAAGTTTGAATTTTCAGATTTACATTGCAAACCATTCGCCGTACAAATACATATCTAATTGACAGTAATATCAGAACACCACTGAGCAATTTGAACTTTTCTTTACTGGATTAAATTTTAGAGTATGTTATGCATAACATGGGAAAGCTATAAAGGCTTTTTTCCCTACCTTTAATATTTACCCTCTCATACAAAATAGGCAGAGAGAATACTACAGATTTATGACTTTACGGACATAAAATAAACTAATATTGGTAAAGATATGGAATAGGGTGCATTGAAAATTCCTGATAAAAACAACAACAGTCTCTAGACACGAAAACAGTGACTCAGATTCATTTAAAACTTGACAAGAATTTTCAGCCAATAGCTTGATTACAACTATTTCTTCAGTTTTCCTGAGTGAATAAATAAATTTTACGATAAGTTTGGTTCATGGGATGGCCTTGGTTTTGCAGACATTTTTGATATTAAGTGGTGATTAAAGGTGAAATGAGAATTCTAGCCACGACGAGATTTGAACCAGCAACCAATGGGTTCCCAGCCGGTTGCCCTACAAAATGAGCTATGAGGCCCTAGATTAACAAAATTAAAATCTCTAAAATGACCAATTCCACTGATTCCTGTTTGATAAATCGAGAACTGGCTCAACAGTAGTAAGTTTCCCACAGATTCTGAAGGTAGTGGTATCTTTCCTTGATGCGTTGGTTGATGCGCACTCCTGAGGAATCTCATACTGGGACGGAATAGCTGTCCATCGCTTCCAGGTTTTAAATGGTTCCCCAGCTGCTATCAGTTCATGATGAATACCGACTCTATCCAATAAATCCATAAAAACCTCCAAAAATGAATAAAAATTATGTAAGCCAGCATTGTCATCAGTCGGCTAATGAGCATGAGCTTCATTGCTTATAGTGCCACACAGCTAAAGTATTCAGTGAAAACATTCAACTTTCGTTTGGTAAAAATTAGAAATTTGCTGGAAGTCATCATGAATTTTCTAAAGTTTAGGTGAACCACGACAGCTTATAAAGTAGAACTTGTAAAAAAATTCCGAATTATAAACAAGATATTAAGGCCATGAAAGTGGTGACACAGAAAATTTATGATAGTTGCTGATCTGATTGTTTTTCATTGTAACGTTTCTTCTTGAATGTTCCAGCCAGAACACTCCTAACAATCCCATACAGTCAACAGAATGCTGAACTAATGAAAGCGGGTATTTTAATATAGCTCTTCAGGCACCTTCCGACTAGTTCAAAAGAAAGCAGATCTTGTTTACAGGAATCAGCTAATTTTTCATGCATCCAGACTGTACTGTAGTACTGGTAGTGTAGTAAATCATTTAGTTTGCTTACCTTGGTAAAGTACTAGTGGCTGGCAGCTCTCTAGTTGTGATAAAGCGTGGGCAACTCACACAAGGACGAAGGTGGATTATTTGCTTTCGTAATCAGTGAATTAACTTTAATGGATACATTATTGAGGATTTAATTGAGAAACATTAACAAATGATGTTTATTATGACTTCCAAACATTGATACCCAGCTATTTTACTGATTCCAGTTGCCTTTTTTAAATATCAGAACATGATAAACTATATCACAACACCATGTGATAGGCAGTTCCTCAAATGCATCCACTCATTTACAAAACCATCAGATATCTTTTCCGCACTGAGTGACTTCAAGACAGACTGCCAGAAATCCTAGCTGAAGAACTTAACGTGATAGGCCGACCAATTTACAAGTGAATGATGTTGGTTGATTTGCTAATATTGGAAGCGCTACCAACAAAATCTTGATCTACTGAACCCCTTGTAAGCTGATCATTGTAAGGCTCATTATCTCCTAGATTAAAATACGTACGGTTGTCAAGGTTGTGTAGAATAGATTATTTACGTATTAAGATGAACCAGGATTTCCAGTTTTCAGTAAATAGCTGTCAAGATTATGCTGATTTGGTATCGAAATCACTTTGAAATTCAAAATGTTTTGCAAACTGTGTGACCGAACTAGTAATAAAAAGTGAATTTGCTGTTGAAGTCAAACATTTTTTTTTTAAGAAGCTAGACTGCTTTATTTTGAACCATTGTCTGTTCTTAAAAGTGTATGCCAAGATATTGTATGAATGACTTTAAAATCTGCACCTAGCTTCATATTTTTATGACTAAACAACTGATTAGTTTTGTGCAATGTAGGAACAAGTACTGAAATAATAACATTAACATAAATTCCAAATGAGACTCAAAGAAACACTGAGTTGTAAGCTTTCAAGTTGCTTATTTGAGCTGCAGCAAATAATTACTACAACGATTTCGGTGTGAATTAAATCATACGACTTCCCATTTGCAGACGGTACAAGAGATATAAGTGCTTGCATTTCAATGGATTCTTGGTAGGTGTACACCTGACATCTGGAGAAAGTGAAATTATCTAACTACTGAGTCATTTAAAAAGTCCAGTGCACTTTTGTAGGATAGTCAGCAAGAGTATCTTTGATATTTCTACCCCAAAACGGTTCAGTAACTTGAGGATTGTTCTTACTCTGCACTTATTAACTTACTTGACTTCAGAATATTTATTACTAGCGTTTCATTGAAAAAGTCAAGTACAATCGTCCTTTTCCTTTAATTCTTAGCAAAATGAACTCCATAAGATATAAGCTTTCTAGTTCACTGTTATTTGTTGAATGGAACCACCCAACTGATTCTCAGATGTAGCTGAATATACTTTAAAAGTGAATGAGAGTGTATTGCTGTAAAAACCTCCATATTTTTGGATAATAAAAAGCTGTACGTTAAAGTTTTTGACTTCAAAATATTAACATAACAAGCTATATGTGGAGAGTGCTGCTCAAAATCGTAACGTGGCTTTCATCCTATGAATTTGATTGGCATCTTGACTCCAAAGGGAGTCGTATTACTCGATTTCTGTCTGCTTATATCAACACACCACTTAGATATTGTTCGACACTTCATAATTCCTACCTAACACTATCATTTAAGACGCTTTGTCCTCATCGTCAGCTTATGCTGAACTATGGGTTAAATACCTTCTGCAACACCCAAGACGAATCAGTAGCAACTTTCATTTTGCAAATATTTTTCAAATGCAAGCCGACTAAAAAAGAAAGGCGTATCCGTTTCGGCCAAAAAATATGTCATGCATGAAATATGAAATTAGACGGAGAGAAGATTATTAATATAAACAAGTTAATGAACTTGATTCCATCACTGTCTTTCATCCTTTTGTGGTCTCACAGTCACTTTTCCTCATTCTGTCAAGACCCAGGTTTTCTAAAAACTCTAGTAGTTATCACCTGTTATATTGAAATTTCCATAAAGCTGAAAATGTTAACTCATCAGAATGTTTTTCCAGCTTAAGGTAAAGTATAATTCACCCAATGTAAAATTCATTTTATAGATGCAGCTGCTTTCAAACAGCGATAACTAAGCATATTAATCTCATAAACTACTTTGAGATTAGTAACACTGATATCAATATATTTTTTC